AAGCAGGGGACTTCTTTATTTAGCAATTGTCAATTATTACATTTTGATTCTACTCTATAGCTATTTATATTGCTTGCAACACATCCTGCAAGTTTTACAACAAGCTTTCACATACTTTTAGCCCTTTACTGATGCATAATCTGATGCATCTGATCCTGCGCTGTGCCAGACCTGGTACCCAACCTCATACCCTTATCCCTCGTTCTGTTATGTCTCTTTCCCACTCATGTAATTATTATACTAACACTACTTAAGCTTCATATGTAGGATGCAATTTGTATATAGAGAAACCTCTATTCATGTATTTTCTATAATTGCATACCCTCTTTTAATGTATTTTTTTTCTTGGTCCCAAGTTGGGCAATATTATTAATTACACATCTCTTACCTCTGCATGTGCAATAAATTTTTAAATTTTATTATATTAAAATCCCTTTATAAATGCACTCACATGATTATCATGTAATATTTAATACTGTATAATAATTATAAAATATTGACTGATCTAATTAATAATGCCTAAAGTTTTTTTATCAAATATTCAAAAGTATAAGTTTTGTCTCTATGCTTATAATAATAAACAGAATAGACTTAAATATACAAAATGGATTAAACAAAAGTGGGGATTAAAAGTTAGTGAGTCAACTATTACTTATATACTTCAAAATAAAGATAAAATACTTGCTATTAAAAATATTAATCCAAATACAAAAAGACATAAATCTGTTACTATTCCTGAATTAGAACTTGCACTTAAAGAGTTTATTTTAGTTTATCAAGAAAAGGTTATTTTAACTGATGCAATTATTATAGAAAAAGTAAAATTATTAGTCAAAGGATTTAATATTTCTGAAGAAATATTAAAATTTTCTAATGAATGACTTCAAAAGTTTAAAATTCGTAATGGAATTTTTAAACAAAAACTTCATGGAGAAGCAGCATTTGTTAATAAAGATGTTATTATACAATATTTACCAATATTACAAAAAAAATATAATGAATATTCTTTTAACTGGATTTATAATATGAATGAAACTGGTCTTTTTTATAGGTATAAAGAAATTTTTTAAAAAAAAATTTTTTTAATTAAAATTTTACTTTAATTATAGATTAGAACCAGATCAAACATTAGCAACACGACATCTTGAAGGTCACAAAAAAAACAAAGAACACCTATCATTAGTATTGTGTACAAATACTGATGGATCATATAAACTTAATTCATTTATAATTGAAAAGTATGTCAATTCACGTTGTTTTAAAAATGTGAAAATTCAAAACTTTCCTGTCATCTATCAAAACAATTCTAAGGCATGGATGCTCACAGTTCATTTTCAAGAATGGCTTGAAGATTTCAAAATTCAAGTAACAAAACAATATAACAACCAACCTATACTCTTGTTATTAAATAACTGTCCAAGTCACAAGGTTGAAAACATGAGTCTTGATCAAATTGAAATTTATTTCTTTCTATCCAAAACCACTTCAAAGATTCAACCATTAGATGCTGGAATAATAATGGCTTTTAAAAAACATTATCGACAACATCATCTTCGATAAGTTATTTAAAATTTTTTATTGTTGTATTCTTACACACTTTATTTTTTATTTTGTTTAATTTACATGTTGTAATTACATATTCTTTTCTACTCCTATCTATTCATTCTTATTTATCCTTCACTACCTTTCTATTATCTTTTTCCGCCTATTCGTTTTTCTTATCTCCATTCGTTTTTTCCCTTTACCATCCATTTTTTTCTCATTATTATTGTTTTTTCTTATCTCTATTTATTTTGCTTCCCGGTTCATTCTTTATTCCAATTCCCATTTTAAAAAAAAAATAATAATAATAAATATTATTCTTTTCTCTATTTATTTGTTTTACTATTTTTATTCATTCTTATCTTCTTACCTACCTACTTCTTACATTTTTTCTTAACTCCATTCATTTTAGATTTATCTTCCTAAAATAAAATAAAAAAATAAATTATATTAAAATTTATTATTTTTCTCTATTCATTTTACTTTTCTTATCCATTCTTACCTCCTTTCTCCTTACATTCTTCCTTTTATTTATTTTCACTTTTCCCATCCTAAAAAAAAAAAATTATTTTAAAATTCATTATTTTCCTCCATTCGGTTTACTTTTCTTATTCATTCTTACCTCCTTTTTTCCTTATTTTTGTTCTTTTATTCGTTTTTGCTTTTTCCATCCTAAAAAAAAAATTTATTTATTTAAAATTCATTCTTTGCCTTTATCCGTTTGTTCTTACCTTTTCCATTTATTTTTATTTTACCCATCCTAAAAAAAAAAATTATATTTTATTATTCATTCGCTACATTCTACCTTCCCTATCTTATTCTTACTTTCTTTTAACCTTCTCCATTCTTTATTACTTCCATTCATTTTCATCTTTATATCCTAAAAAAAATAAAATTCGTTTATTATTTCTATCCATTGCATTCTATCCTCCCTATCCGTTCTTACCTTCTTACCTCCTTATCTTCTTTTGACCTTTGTTTTTTATTATTTCCATTCATTCTTGTCTTTCCTATATTCTTTACCTTTATTCGTTTGTTTTTACCTTCTCTATTCTTTATTACCTTTGTTTTTCCATCTTAAAAAAAATCTATTTATTTGTTCTACCTCCTTATCTCTTCTTCACCTACCTCCTAAAAAAAAAAATAATAATTTAATATCCACTCTTTTTTTACCTTCTTATTTTCTCCATTTGTTTTATCTTTACTATCCATTTTTTGCCCATTCATTCATTCTTATCTCCTTTTTATCCATTCGTTTTTGTCTTTCTGTCCTAAAAAAAAAAAAAAAATCTATTCATTCACTCTATCTTCTTTTATTTCTTACTGCTTTATTTATTTTTATTTCCTTTTTTTTGTTAATTTTTTTGCCGTTCGATTTTCATTTCTCCATTTATTTATTTTTGCCATATTTTTTCTGCCATTTCCTCATTCACACACATATAAATCGTATGACCTCTTTATAAACTAACATGTATCTCTTTCTTTTTTACCCACACCCCGCTTATTTATAATAGTTGAATTTTGAAGCAAGTCAAAGAGGGAAAATTCATTCAAGATTTAAAAATGGATGTACTTCAAGCAATCCAGTTTATTATTAAAAGTGGAAGTGAAATTACTGCAAAAACTGTTTATAACTGTTGATGTCATACGAAGATTCTTTCTAATATAGATACTGACACAGACAATCTTATGGAAATTAGTGATTTGAAACTATGGTTCCGAAAATTGGAATCGAATAGAATCGAACAGAATCGCATGAGGTTTGGAACACTTTTAAAAATGATGGTGGGGTATACCCCACCTATTAAATTTAATATAAACTTGAGAATCGAATACAGAATCGAAAAGAA